AAAGACAAGTGGGATTTTTGAGTATTGATTGGTTTGAACCTTTTATAAGACCTGTTTTCCAGCACATAGACATTGTAAAACAACTATTTATTACTAAAAGTTGGGTTTGTTTTATTGGAATTAGTAGTTTGGTGCAGTTGAAAGAACATTACACTGGGAATCAGAATTTGGAGTCTAGTCTTGACTTTACATAATCTGAGGCAGATTATTTTATCTCTCTTCACTCAGAGGTTCTCCTCTGGGGATTGGCTGGGTGTATGTAATCATGACCTAGCTTTTAAAAACTACATTTACCCCTTCCTGTCTCCCCCACCAACAATGTAATTCTGCATTATCTCCTGCCTCCACTCCATCATTTTCACGAGTGAGCCATTGTGTATGTTATCACCCTGAGGTGCTCTGGGTTTGGAAACGGTTGAGTACTGTTGATATCAAATCTCCCTTCCAACTCATTTAGCTCTTTTTACTGAAAGTTCATCAAACTTGAGTTACACACAGGCCTGTTTAAGAACTGTAAATTTTAACTTCTCAACTTATAATATTGAGAGGAAAGGTCACCTGGTACTCTAAAAGGACATAGGAGCTATCAAATATACAGGGGTGGGCAAAAGTAAGTTTACAGTTGTTCATATAGAAAATAATGCAATAATAATGATACAAGAATATATTGTTTCATTTACTCACAACTATAAACCTACTTTTGCCCACACATGTACATTGTTTCTTAGCTATAGGCCGAGCATTACTATGGTTTAGTCCTTTTTCATTACAGATCACTATGATTTGCAGTGTAAATCCAGCCTTCCTCCCCTAGAGTCAACACACCACTGTTGATAATATGCAAGAACTTGTTATAGCAAAGCCTTTTTTAAAAAAGTATATATTTTATTGATTTCAGAGAGAAAGGGAGAGGGAGAGAGAGATAGAAACATCAATGAAGAGAGAGAATCATCCATCAGCTGCCTCCTGCACCTCCCTCCCTGGGAATTGAGTCCACACCCCAGGCATATGCCCTGACCAGGAATTGAACCCTGACCTCCTGGTTCATAGGTCGATGCTCAACCACTGAGCCATGCCAGCTAGGCAACATAGCAAAGCCTTATATGTACTAGAGCTAGCTCTGAATTTGCTCACCATTGCATCACCAGCCATAATACCTGGTTCATAGTAGCCATTCAATAAATATCCCATGGGTGACTAAATAAAAAGATGAATTTAGGGAGAATAGGGACCTACAGCCAAAAAGCTTTTCTGTTGACTTTTAGCATATCCTAGTTGCTAAATGCAGAAACAGAGAGAGGTGAGAAGTTTGGGGAAATATTTTTGGGTGGTAAGAAGTGAATGATTAAGAAGCCCAAGGCTGGTTTTTAATTTGGTTGGGACTGCTCACTTAAACTTTAACTACCTATGGCAAAATAAATCAGGTAGTACCTTCTCTGAATAAGAATGATGCCAAAATAATTTGGTTAAAGTTTAATCAGAATATTTAAGTAATGACCTATTCCAGTACTTATTTTCTGAACCACTGATAAGCAGAAAAATGTTCACTTACTGTAAGGCTCTTTTAACATATGAGTCCATTTTCTTTCCAAGTTAAGATTTAGTGAAAATGGAAAATGTATATATATATATATAATAGGGCCTCAGGACTCATTGCAAACATAAATATATGGTATATTATGGATATACTAACAGAAAGCTAAGGAGATTGGGATAAAAGTCACACTGACCCAGGGTGGCCTTATGGTAAAGTAGATTGTAACCCATGTGGTTTGACTTGGGAGGACTGAGAAGTCTCCTTTTCCCAAAAATAACTCCCCTTTGGATTTTTCCAATTCTTGAAATACCACTGTTTAGACTCTGGATTAAGGAATTGTCTGTGTTCTAGAGTTCCCTGTTTAAAGGTAAATACAGCTAAGAGAGCTAAGTCCTTATCAACCTGAATGACATCACTGGATGATGAAAGATCATGTTCACTGGACAAAAACAGGGTACAGAATGGCTACCTTTTGAAAGGGTGCAAGGGTCCTGAGCAATGAATCCTGTCTGAGGAATGCAGAACTGAGTGTGTCACTGAGCTAAAAGACATATGAGAATCCTGGAAAATAAGACACCGTAAAGCCGGGAAGGGCACTGAAAGGAGAGATCCAAAAATACTACTTCAGATTAACATTACCTACTTTCCAACCTTGCCCAGGTAGGGTTTCTGCATGGACAACATATACTCTATTTTTAAATGCAGACCTCTCCTTCCAGTCTTGTTCAATTGATTATGCTATTTTTAGCTCAGCTTTCTGGCTATCAAGATCATTTTTGTCATGATTCATACAGCATAATAGTCATTCCCTCTAGGGGCAGAGCATCTATAGATTTATTGCGTGCCTTCCACATTTTTATCGAAGTCATTAGTTCTTAATCTTGGGTTCAGGCTGTCTGTAATTTATCTAAAACTGTACATAACATTTTTTGTGTATATAAGAATTTCTCTATAGAGAGGGGTCCAGAGTTTTTAGCAGGTTCTCAAGGTGATCCATGACCTCAAAAAAGGTTAAAAACCACTGATCCAACTATTCAATATTTTGATCAGAACAGTGCTAATAAGACAGAGTTCTGTAAGATCACCAAGAGTGCCTTTCATCTTGTTTGGCACTGATCCACCAGAAATGTTGAGGTGTAGTGGTTGACTATTACATGTCAGTCTTTTGAGATTTGCCTTTGTCATAAAAGTGGAAGGGAAAAGTGAATTCCACCTACTTTGGCATTCTGATTGTTGAAATTTTCATACTGCTGATATTTAGTTTTTAATCTCTAAGTGTAAGGTCATTCTTAAGACCATCATTTTGATTCCTATACACATCAGACACCATATATTATAATATATTTAGCCTGAATGTAATTATAGCTACTTCAAAAACCCATGTGATTAGCTAAAATTAACACACATCAAAGAAAATACGTAAGTTACAGCTTGCTATCTGTTTTCTACATGGCTCTGAACAAGTATAATGTGAACTCAATGCCAACCTATCTTAAAACCTAGGATCTCAGTTATTGTACAGTTAGAATATATATAGAAAGGGCTCCACAGTTTAAGAAAATCCTCTACATGAAAATCTGGATATGACTAGTAGATCTTCATTACTTTACTTAAAAACGATTTAAAAGGGAACCCTCATACACTGCTGATGAGAATGCAGATTGGTGCAGCCAGTATGGAAAACAGTACTGGTGAGAATTATGCTAAGTGAAATAAGCCAGTCAGAGAAAGATTATCACATGATCTCACTCATATGTAGAATCTAATGAATCAAATAAACTGATAAACAAAAATAGGTCCAGAGATCCAGAAGCATGAACAGACTGTTGACCTTCAAAGGGAAGGCAGGGAGGGTGGAGAGGAAGAGATCAACCAATGAACTTGTATGCATACATCCATAACACATGGACACAGATAATAGTGAGATGAAGGCAGAAAAGGGGTGGAGAGGGTCAATGAGGGGTGGGAGAGGAAGGGATGTCTGTAATACTTTCAACAATAAATATAATTTTTTTTTAAAAAAAAGGACTCAACTTGGAAGGAAGTCAGACACAAAAAATTCCTTGCTGAATGATCCCATTTATATGAAGTTCAAGAAAAGGCAAAGTTAATCTCTAAATGATGGAAAACAAATTACTGGTAGTCTAGGTCCAGGATGTTGGTGGGATTGCACAAAGGGGTATAGGAAATGTTTTGGGATGATGGAAATGCTCTAGATCAGGGGTGGGCAAACTTTTTGACTCGAGGGCCACAATGGGTTCTTAAACTGGACCGGAGGGCCAGAACAAAAGCATGGATGGAGTGTTTGTGTGAACTAATATAAATTCAAAGTAAACATCATTACATAAAAGGGTACGGTCTTTTTTTTTTTTTTAGTTTTATTCATTTCAAACGGGCCGGATCCGGCCCGCGGGCCGTAGTTTGCCCGGCTGCTCTAGATGGTTGTAGTGGTTTCCTGGGTATATACATATGTCAAACACATCAACGTATCAAACAGGTGCAGTTTATTCTACATAAAGTAAATTTCAGGAGTTTCTTATAGAAGATTTACCTTAGGATCATTAAAATAAGATGTTATTGAATATTATTTATTGAACCTTAAAATAAGCTTTAAAATCTGATTCATTATGTAAATGAAAAAGTCTACCTGTGAATTTCTTCAAGGTGGGATGTAGGTGAAATATAATCAATGGAAGGGCTTTTTAACTGGTGAAGAGGTGATATCAATGCATTTTAGTTACTATTTAACATACAAGAATGATATCTCTATTAATGTGGAATACCCCAACAGTAAAACAATTTAAATAATTAGTTCAGATTATCTAAAATTGATTTTGAGTGTCAATTTAGAACAGTTTCCTAAACTGGCCTTTCCAAAGTAGATAGCATGGGACATAGTGATAGCACAATAGCTCATTTAAAGCTACATGGTACATCAACCATGATATCAACATTTTGTATTCACTAAAGGAACATTGTATTGGGAATTGTTTGCCTGTACATTACTTTGCATTTAAAAATTGGGTTAAAAAAATTGCTAAGCTCAGATAGTGAATAACAGGGTGGTTCCTTCGGAAATCTAATATGATAAATGAAGCATTAATTTTAAGTCCTAGTTTTAAATGCTATGTACCAACCAATATGAACCCTTTAAATAATCTTCTCTGGAATTTTTTAAGATTTTTTTCTAATCTGGGATATGGTAATGGTGAATTCTTTTCTTAGTGGTTAATATGAAAATGGGAAGCATTGAACTAATCATAGAAATAATATTGAATCCAATTAAAGCCACCTTGTCATGTGTGCATATGGAATGTAACAAAGAGTAGCTAAAAACACAGAAATAAGATTTTCTGAAATACTACACAAGTGTTAGCTGTATATACAGATGTCAAAACATAACACATCAAACTGTATACTTGAAATAGGTGCAGTTTATTCAACTGAATTAGAAATCACTTGCTTTTATAATTAGTTATGCTTATGTGTTAGTAAAATTGTAAGTACATTTTACTGGTAAGGCAGGAACCCTTGCATTTATTTAGTAGTTATCTTGACCTGTTTATTTTGCATTGATGGTAGGAGCACCTTGTTAAAAGAGGGTTGGTCAAAATGGAGAGAGGAACTGGGTGATTGGTTAGGTCAACTGAATTCTAAGTGCCAGTAATGGGTTCCTTAGTGATAAACACTGCAGTTAGGCTACCAGCCTATGACTTATTCTGGTTTTTCCTTATCACCCAAGGCTTTAATTGCAATCCCGGGCTCTGGCTTGGTCTCGGGTTTGGGCTTGGGCTCCAGCTGGATATCAAGCTCAGGCACCAGGGCAGGCTCAGGTCCTGAGGCAGGCTCCAGGGAATACTCAGGAATGGTGATAGGCCCATGATCTGCCCCCAGGATGGTATCGGGTTCAATCTCATGGAAGGAAGTTGGTGTTGCTTCTAGTTGAATAACATCTTCAGACGGCATTGTCTCGAACTCTGTAACTCTGTTTGTCATTGGTCTGCAGGAAGAAGGCCCAGAGAAGACCAAGTTAGGGTTTGACATTTCACGTGGAGCCATAGGTTTCAGTGACCATAGGTCCCAATCTGTTCAAGACCTCTGTGATTTCTGATATTCTGGTTCACTGTTAGACCACGTGTCTCTATTTTGAGTGCAAAAAAGTTATGTCTCAACAATATTATTAGAGTTCAAGAGAGAAAAACCAGTGTTCCAAATGTGGGAAAACATATCAAGGTGAAAGGATCTATTCATCTAGTAAGGTCTTTGAGGCCCAAATCCATGACTCCGGTGTTATCTCTAGCTCACACTTCATCTAGCACAATACTTGGCATCTGGTTGGTGCCCAATACACAGTTGTGGAAGCATAGAAATGGCAAGATGAACAAATGAACAAGTGTGATATACATTCACGAAGAAATGGCAGAGTGGTCAAGAGCATAGGCTGTGGGCCCAGTCACGTTCTGACTTCTGTAGACCTTAGGTACTTTTGCCTTTGTGGAACCCTTGTTCCAAAAAAAAAATATTGAAAATTATATTTTATGACCAGTTGGTAGAAAGACAAGTATACTAATATGCTAAATCATTTTCTTAGACCTAAAATGGTTATTGTAGTTAAATAAGTTGATATAAAGTGCTTAGAACAGTCTGAAACACAGCACTCAGTAAACAGTACCCAACATGATTCTTTTATAAAAGTAGTGAGAATGAACAGAAAGATACCCCTGATATTTTATGCTAAAAGGAGTGCTTAGGAAGAGCTGACTGAAAGAGATATGCTAGAGAAATGACTATATTCAAGTAAAGACAACAAATTAAGGTCTTACTCGAGTTCTGTGATGGTTTTAGAAGTTCTCTTCCTTTCATTCCCCTTTGCCTTTGCCTTGCTCCTTGCGTAGCACACCGCAAAGGTGATAATGGCAGCACCTACTAGGGTACCCACCAAGGCCCCAACAATGATTCCAACTTCTGGATCTGGAGTATACAAGCAACTGGTTAGTAAAGTGGAATATATTGTCTCTGCCTCATACATGTACTTTTGTGACGGGGAAATATTTGGGGCATTCATAGAGTGGAAAATATTGGAATTGCATAGGCTGGGAGTATGGAAACCCCTAGAACTCTGCCAGTTGGACTCAGCGGGGAGGAGCATGATGGCTAGGTCAACTATGTAGCTTACTCATTCACATTTACACACATAAATAAAAAAAATGCCAACTTGGGGGAGGTGGCATCACTTTCAAAAAGGGGCATCATCCTATGCACCAAGAGGTTGCTAGTTTGATTCCTGGTCAAAGCATATGCCCTGGTTGCAGGCTCAATACTCAGTAGGAGGCATGCAGGAGGCAGCCAATCAAATTTTCTCTCATTAATGTTTCAACCTCCCTCCCTCTCCTTTCTTCTCTGAAAATCAATAAAAATATATTTTTAAAAAATTTATATTTAAAAAAATTAAGTTTCGAGGAGACTTCAGTGTGCATTTGCTTGGTGAGTGAAAGAAACACCATGGAGCTGCACTCTGGTGACCAGAGAAATGACCTCTGTTACAGGCATGGACATTTTAGCAGGTTTTCCAAGAGAATAGGTCAAGTGGGTCCCTACATTCTCTCTCATAGTTTCCATGCTCACTATGGAGTCTCATATATTCTGGCCACTGGAAAGGGATATGCCCATTTCATAAACTGGTTTATTAGATCAGTCTATAGAGAAATGTATTGTGTGAGATGATTCAGCTGAGCATGAGACTTTATTGTCCCCAAGAGACCATGTCTGTGTTCCAGGAAGGCTCATCCCCATCCACCTCCCTTCAAATAAGAATGGACATCTTATATTTTGAGACTAAAACCTAGTTGAATTGCGGGATTATTCCTTCAACATTTTATGATTAAAGGAATACGTGTGCATAATTTAGAAAGTCAAACAGTTCCACTAGGCATCTAACAAAAATAAACCAAAACAAAAATCACCAGTCCTCCATCTCCCAGTCCCATTCACTAGAGACAATCATTTTTAACTATTTTGTAATCTTCTAAAATGTGCCCCCATGTTTCTATTATGCTTGTTCTAATATGTTCTCTATGTTTTCCAATTTTGGTTATTTTCTATTGACTTCCTACTCTGGAAGTTGAAGTTTTAACTCTCTTATACCATTCCCCTCATACCCTACCACATTCTCCTTATATATTTACTAGTGGCCCGGTACATGAAATTCATGCACGGTGGTGGTGGGGGGGGATGGAGGTGTGTTCCTCAGCCTGGCCTGCACCCTCTCCAATCTGGGACACCTCGGGGGATGTCCAACTGCCAGTTTAGGCCCGATCCCAGGGATTGGGCCTAAACCAGTAGTCAGACATCCCTCTCACAATCCAGGATCAC